ATTTTTAGTAATTTTACATATACACACAATTTTTTTCAAAGAAATTATCACATGTTAACACAGTTTTTGTGATAGAGAATCATATATTGCAGTTTAGATTATACCAGAGTATAAAATATAACTTATTAGATATGGTAGGCCAATAAAATCAAGTACCAACTTACTATCCAAGTGTTTTAATTGTACAATTTAATACAATACGCACAGTATAACAATCTTTTATTTTGTGATTATATGAAAAGGTCATTGTCACAACATTACACAGCATGATAGAAGCGTTTAAAATCCAAAAGCAAAAATGAAAACACACACAAAAGATAAAAATAAAAATAAAAATAAAGTTTACAGCTTCTTATCTGTCTATGCTTCAGATCACCCGACAGAGATTAAACCGACAGCTACCCTTTACATGTGCCTGAGAGCCACTACTCTAATTTCGTCAAAAACCAGCAACTAGAGGACAGGTCGGGTCAGATCTTGACCCTGCGTTCATCCGGATCAGTCGATCAGACCACCCAAGCACGAGAAAAAGATTTCAGTTGGCGCTGTCAAAGCCAGAGAGTGGGCGTCCAGAGCGCAAAGGACGGTGGTTTCATCCGTCAGCCTTCCCTACTAGATCTGACATCGCTGAGCCCCTCGCAGGCGATGCAATTACAACCCACATCCGTCGGATGCGTCCACTTCGGCATTGACTGGAATTTCAATTTCAACTGCTCGGAGAGAAGTACGGTAAAAGGAAGAAGATAACGTGTGCAGTCTACATATTAAAAAAAAAAAAATTCATTTCTTACATTAAAACGAAGGGTAGAAAACTTTGAAAAGTGCTAACATGGAATACATTAAAGTTGTCTTTGGAACTTCAATTTAAATTGAAATTTACTGGGTGGGATTAAAATATATGTATTTAATATACATGTCATTTAAATAAATATATTTTAAATACACCTTTTCCTTCAGTTAAATGATTTTCAGTCACATTGTGATCCACTCTTTTTAGATAAATTTAATTCCGTCTTTTGAAATATTGATAAAAAATATATATATTTTTTAAATATATAT